GCGAGCAGACCCAGGCGTGCCGCCGCGCGTATGGTCGCGAAGCGGTCGCCTTATCGCATACTGCTCTCGCGCTTCATGATGACAGTCAGTCTTTTGGCGTGTTCGCCTTTAGAGCGAAAAGGGTGCGGCTTATTATACACTTGAAAATAGGGTACTTGATTTGTATCGACAATAGCAGTTTTCGAAAAAAAAAACATTCCTTAGTTGGAGCGGAATTCAATATTATACTTGAAGTATGACTTATGAATTCTGAAAAAAAAAACTGTAATAAAAACTGTTCTTAGTTATGATTTCAGTTTTGAAGCTTCCTCTTTTGATAAAAAAGAGAATCGTGTTGTTCGAATTTTTCTGCACTAACTTTCAATCTACAAGTCGATCTCTTTTTAGAACCAAACCATGAGTGTATAAGGAAGAACATAAGATTTAGTGACAACGTAACTAACGTGAATTAAAACATTTCTGAAGCTCTTTAGAAACAAGTTTTTCTTAGAATCTCAATGAAATAACTAAGACGAACTACCTATTGAGAACAAGAAAGCGAAGTATATCGAAAAGGAGCTTGCGAATGATTTAAAATAAAAAAAGACGAAATCTGATTTTTTGAAGTTATTACAAAATTTTTGCAAATGCTAAATTGAACCAACAGAAGAAGCTAGAGAATTTTCCTAATGACTGCAATGCGTTCCTACGCTAGCTCACCAGTGCGCGGAGCGTTAAGCGCATCGCGTCGGTACTCAGCTGACGGCTGGTACGTGTTATCTTATATATTAGGTCATTCCGAAAGTAATTTCGCTATTTTCAAAGGGGCGCCACATTTAAAGGAACACAATTTTCTGAGAGATCTTGGTAGCATACGATGCAGCATTTCATCCTCTTTCCAATGGTTATAAAATTATTGCAGAATAGTCGATAAGCTTTTGGAAAATATTCAAAACCTGCGACCCATGCATTTTGAAATGGTCAAGTTTCACAATTTTTCAAAACCTTCATATCAAACCTCAGAAGAAGTTCAAGTAACGATTAGATAGAGCAAACACTACAGGATAACAAATTAAGTTTTTTCTCCTTCACATACCTCGTCAAAATTTTTTAATAAAATCTCAACTCATGCTACCAATTTTCATACTTGTTCAACTCAAATCTCATAGAACATCGATGAGAAAGCAGCACGGGTGCTGTTTGATGCGGCTTTTTCTCCTCTTTCAATAGGTGTTTTTTGTTTCCTTGTTCAGTCTTTGGCGTAAAATCGTCATAACTCATGTCTTTGAGTGCGCCCAAGGCTGTATCCGAAAAACTCGATGTTTAGTATTTCGAATCCGCAAGCTCTCATTTGCTTTACAAAATCAACATTTAGTCATATATCATCTTGGAAGCTTCGTATTCCGAGTAATTACTGATGTTTGATGCGATTGTGACTGACATAGGCTTGCCAAAATCCGATGGTTTTGGTAAAAAATCTTTTAAAAAATCACGGCGAGCTATGAAAAAGAGAAAAAAGGTGTGCTGTATTCTACGAGGTTTGCTCTATCTTTACTTGAACTGCTTCTGAGGGTTGATATGAAAGTTTTGGAAAATTGTGAAACTTGACGATCTCAAAAAGCATGGGTCGAAGGTTTTGGTTATTTTCCGAAAGCTCAATGATTGTGCTGCAAAGATTTCACTACAGTTAAAAAGAGGATGAAATGCTGCGTCGAATATTACCAAGATCTCTTTGAAATGTTTGTTTCATCGCATGTGGTATCCGTTTGAAAAAAGCGAAATTACTTTCGGAATGACCTAATATAAAGCTGAATGTCTGTTTGTCTGTCTGTATTTATTTATTTATTTATTTTATTTATTGTTACATAGGGTTACCCCTATGTGCAAAAACCGAACAACAAGAACAAAAACGCAACACAAAAAAACAATAAAACAACGCGTAACAACGATATGAAGAAAAAAAGACCAGCCTGAGGTATGAAAGATCAAACGCAGCTTTTTGATTGTAAGTAGATGATGTTGTTTGATGATGTTGATGTTTCGTTTGAAGGAAGATAGCTTAACCGTCAACATTCCGTTCCTTACCATATAATCAAGATCAGATAGAACTCGGCAAGTAAAAAAATTTGCTCTGATTTTGGACTTTGCTCTTGGTAACACTAGTTTCATATGTCCACCTCTTGTGTTTGACATTCTGATAGGAAAATACTCATTAACATTCAGTCTACATTCACCGAACATGATTTTATGTGCCGTGATGAAATCAAACGTACGCCTTCTGTGGGCTAATGTCGGAAGTTTGAGATTCAGATTACGCGTCCTTCTATCAGGGATCTGGTCATATGCCAACCCAGTAGTTCTAATAAGGAGTTTTCGCGTGAAACTATTCCGAACCTTCTCAAGGTAATCGACTGTTTTGCGCAAATGAGGGCTGTAGATGACAGTACCATATTCAAGCATGGGCCTTATGAAAGTCTTATAAGCCTTCAGAAACACTTCAACCCTGTTGCAGGAGAGCGCCCTGAACAAGTTATAGACAGCTTTCATAGCCTTATCAGCAATGATCTTACAATGTTCATTGAATTTGAGGTCGTTTCTGACTAGAAAACCCAAGTCACGTATTGACTCAACTGTTTCAAGATCTTTCCCTCCCAGGGAATAATGAAAGTTCCCCTTATTTGAGCCTATATGAAGCACCTTGGATTTCTCTAGGGAGATGGGCAATTCCCACTGCAGCGACCAGTTATAAACGCCATTCAACGCATTCTGCAGCAGTCTGTAACCACTATTATCCACAACAACTCCATACAGTTTAAAGTCATCGGCAAAAGCAGTGCAACACACCCCATAAGAAATTGGTATAAGGGGAAGATCATACGTGTATATATTAAACAATATCGGTGAGAGAACACCCCCCTGCGGTACTCCACTATTCATTTTTTTAGGTCTGGAGAATGTGTTGTTTATTCGTACTGAAAAGGTTCTGTCAGTCAGAAAGGCTCTTATCCAAACGACAATCCGCGGATGTATACCCACAGCTTCAAGCTTTTGTAAGAGTTTACTATGGGAGACTTTATCAAATGCCTTAGCAAAATCTAGGTAAATAACATCCGTACTCAATCCGCTTTCTAAGTGCAGCGTCCATTCATTAAGAGAATGGAGCATAGCGGTAATGGTAGACCTGCCTTTCTGGAAACCATGCTGCGCAGGGTCAACAATATTGTTGTCTTCTAAATGCTTCACTGTTCTTTTCTTGAGAATTTTTTCAAACACGCGCGAATATTGAAGTAATACTAATCGGTCTGAAGTTTTTTGGACAGGTATGGGGCTTTCTTTTGGGAATTGGCGAAACAAAAGACGTTCTCCACCTCTCAGGAACCTCAGCTCTCATCATGCTCAAATTGTATGTCTGTCTGTCTGTCTGTATGTATGTGTGTACGTATGTTCCGAATAGAAAATTCCATTTCTGAACCGATCCGGACCAAACTTGACACACATACACTTCGGGCCCCGGCGGGTGTCATAGGCTGCTTTTCCTCATCGATCAATATCGATTTTATCGATTTTTTGCAAAATTTGAGCTACGGGGCTGGGAGTTGGTACAGGGGGGGAGGTAACCGAGCATGCTGATTACGAATAAAATAATGACAGGGCCGGGCGGAGCCGGGTAAGCCATCTAGTCGTTCATAAAGTCACTCACCCCGTAAGACAATGCATGGAAGAGCTTCACTTTCGAACCTCGCTTCGAATTCGGAATTTCATCAAAAGAAGAGGCAAGGTGGGAGAATGAGACGAAAACGGGTAAAATATACAATCAAAACCGTTCATGGGAGTCAAGCACAGCTATGTTGCTCCGCTCAAAACCGCATGCGGGCGGCTGCAACGCATGCATCAGTTCCGGAACAGTTACAGCACAATGCAAGAACGTATTGGAATTGTCCCGGAACTTCAACATCAGTGTGAACTCAGCCTTACAAAGCCGCTGCTTTTACATCGTAGTCGCGTGCTGTTTGAAAGAACTTTCCTCGCTTTAAAGAGATTGATTTTGTTTGGAGTAGTTCATTGCTGTATTTTTAGTCCACGAAATAGAATATTTCAAAAGTAAGATTTAGGCATTCGACAAACCATTTTCGAGTTTTATGCTGATGCCACGGAATTTCCTTCAATGACTAAGCAGATAGGCTAGAACGGCTGCTGAGGGAAGCATCAATGACTCTGCAAAGCAGCGATTGACCATATTATAGATTTGGACTTTATTAGCGGACTATGACTTCCTAAACGAAATCATCTAAACAACCCGCAGAAATCTGCTTTATCCTTGTCTGATTTCTTTTGGACAATCTTGATCTGCACCGTAGGAACGTAATCAGTGATTTTTCACCGGAAAATGGGGCCGAAACTAGACTGTTTGACCTTTCGAAGACTTTTAAATCGGAAAAACAAACAAACATAACAAAGTCAATTTTTCACTTGGTCACGCTGAGAGCAAGAATAGTTCTTCAAAATGCTTGTTATCAACACCTTTCAGATCAACTGCAGTATGAGAAAGCGAAGAGAACAAAAATTAAACTTACAAAATCATGGGATGAGAAATAATCAAGTTGCATATCTTTCCTTAACGTACTGTTTCCTGAATAAGTGGTATATTACAGTGGCCGACAAAGGATAGAGGGGGGGGGGGGGAGGTCGTGCCCCCCACCCGAGAGGCCACGCAATTTTGTAATTAGTTGTGCGGTCGTGAAATTTTCGTAAAGGATTACAAAAATTTTCCGGAAAAGCTTGACCTAAGCCACCCCTTCCCCCTCATCCGGAAAATTTTTTGGCCCCCTTCTCCACCCGAAAAATTCGTGAACCGCCATTGTATTTTCTGAATCCCATCTGCAGTTATTTGGTGCATTGTAATCTCAATGTTGCCATGATTTCCATGACATGTCATTTCCTTGTACATTTGTGCTCTCGCTACAGCTGTGAACCATCTCCACATGTATTTTGCTCGTCTTTTGAGGCTTTTCTTACAGACTGTACAATAAGATTTGCAGGCGCAAATCCGCCTAAACGGGATTATTTATGAAGAGAGTTCGATGAACAACATTAATTGTTACTGACTCTAGCTAGCCAAATGTTACTCAGTTCTCTTCGAAGTCTGATTTGCGACCAAGATTGGGATAGGGTAAGTCAAAAGCTCTCGGTTTCTTGACAAGCGAAGCGAAAAGGTGTCGCAATGCCTTATGACTTTTTGGGCACACTGAAGCTCATACCTTGAACAGTATTGGGCCCTTGGAAACCTCCAACGTTCATCGGATATAATCGCCTTGCATGTTTATATTTCTGATGATTGTAGCTGTTATTATCAATCTATTCAGTGCATGTAAGAGTCTCAAAATTCTTTCTTACTAAGTTTGCATATATTAGCTCAAGGTAAGAAACTTTGAATAGCCACAATTCCAACAAAATCTTTACTTATGTTCTCAGTAAAAGTTTCTGATTTCAAACTCACGATTTTTCATTTCAAACTAGGTTTAGTAGCAAGTTCTTTCTTACGTATCGTGACTTTCCTAAATATTTTGTACAGTGATGGTAGAATAAACAATACCGCTCACAGGTGCAAAATTTCCTTGAATGTCGCAAAATTCCGGTAATTTCGCGGAAGACCGCTACATTTCGGGAATTTCACGCAAATTCCGTAAGTTACGCAGCCCCATCTTACTTCGGAAGAAGTATTTTCTAAATTTGGAAAACCTTTATACATACTCAGCTCATCAAGGCTGTGCCGACATTGTCGGCACTTCCTAACAACCGTATCTTTATCCTCACCGAAGTACCTTACAGGTCATGCCATAAGCATAACCTGCTGTAATAGTGTGTTATGTTACTCTACCACGCCTATTATGGTCAGCATTCTACCACAGCACCAACGTGTGCAGGTCGCCTGTCTCAATAAAGCTTATTAGCTATGTGTTCTATATAACACACTCTACCGGGCGCTATTTCGCCTAAGGCCACTATAGAGCCTACGAACCACCGATACATTTGGTGCATCAGCTGTGCCGATATAACCGACACCCCTTTATCGCATAGATATATGTTGTACTTGTAATTCATTTCATTGCTCTCTTTCCTCCCGCTGGACGGAGTGTGCCGACATTGTCGGCACTTCTCCTCAGATAATCGCCGGGGGCAGGCGGTCCGCAAACTCGCGCTTTTCTGCAGGCGGTCAGCAGAATTTTGGGGCGTGGCCAAACCTTCAGCGGGCGGTACTTTCGTCTTCTGCCAGCGGGCAGCAATACAAAATTTCCTGCAAGCGCTCCGCAAATAATTTCTTTCAGCGAGCGCTGGCCAAATTTTCAGCAAGCGCTCGGACTCTTTTTAGGCATTTTCGTGCGTACGTCGAGCGCAGGTAAGACTCTGTGTGGCAGAGGTGTCACCGTTGGTTTAGTTACTCAAGTTTGAGGTACTTTCTCTCAGCGGAAAGTACCTGAGGGTTGAGTCTCAGATAATCGCCGGGGGCAGGCGGCCACGCCATTTTTGGGCAAGCGCGCACCGGAAAAATAGTTCGCTGATTTCTTGCGGTTCGCTTGCAGATATTTGGAAGAACTTGAGCGAAATTTTAGACGAATGCTTGGAGAACATTCGCGGTTTCCTTGTAGATTAGCTGCGGCGCAGTGGCCGCATTCTCGCTGACTTTCCGCGAGAATATGCAAAATTTTCGAGGGCCGCACGGTCCTTTATAGAGGACCGCGCAGCCCCCAGGTACTTTCGGCTGAGAGAAAGTACCTCAAACTTGAGTAATTAAACCATCGATGACTCCTCTGCCATGTAGAGTCTCACGTTTGCTCGGCGTACACCCGAAACTGCTCAAAAACCGTCCGAGCGCCAGCTGAATATTTGACCAGCGCTCGCTGAAAGAGATTATTTGACGAGCGCCTGCAGAAATTTCTGTTTTGCTGCCCGCTGACAGAACATTAGACAGTAAAGGAAGTGCCGCCCGCTGAAGGTTTGGCCACGCCCCAAAATTCTGCTAACCGCTTGCAGAAAAGCGCGAGTTTGCGGACCGCCTGCCCCCGGCGATTATCTGAGGTGGTCCTCCACAGAGGACCGTGCGGCCCTCGAAATTTTTGCATATTCTCGCGGAAAGTCCGCGAGAATGCGGCCACTGCGCCGCAGCTAATCCATAAAGAAACCGCGATTGTTCTTCAAGCTTTCGTCTTTAATTTCGCCAACTTTCTTCCAAATTTCTGCGAGCGGGCCGCAAAAAATCAACAAACTATTTTTCCGGTGCCCGCCTGCCCATAAATCGCATCGCCGCTTGCCCCCGGCGATTATCTGAGTCAGATAATCGCCGGGGGCAGGCGGTCCGCAAACTCGCGCTTTTCTGCAGGCGGTCAGCAGAATTTTGGGGCGTGGCCAAACCTTCAGCGGGCGGTACTTTCGTCTTCTGCCAGCGGGCAGCAATACAAAATTTCCTGCAAGCGCTCCGCAAATAATTTCTTTCAGCGAGCGCTGGCCAAATTTTCAGCAAGCGCTCGGACTCTTTTTAGGCATTTTCGTGCGTACGTCGAGCGCAGGTAAGACTCTGTGTGGCAGAGGTGTCACCGTTGGTTTAGTTACTCAAGTTTGAGGTACTTTCTCTCAGCGGAAAGTACCTGAGGGTTGAGTGGTCCTCCACAGAGGACCGTGCGGCCCTCGAAGTTTTTGCATATTCTCGCGGAAAGTCCGCGAGAATGCGGCCACTGCGCCGCAGCTAATCCATAAAGAAACCGCGATTGTTCTTCAAGCTTTCGTCTTTAATTTCGCCAACTTTCTTCCAAACTGCGAGCGGGCCGCAAAAAATCAACAAACTATTTTTCCGGTGCCCGCCTGCCCATAAATCGCATCGCCGCTTGCCCCCGGCGATTATCTGAGTCAGATAATCGCCGGGGGCAGGCGGTCCGCAAACTCGCGCTTTTCTGCAGGCGGTCAGCAGGATTTCGGGGCGTGGCCAAATCTTCAGCGGGCGGTATTTGCGTTTTCTGCAAGCGGGCATCAATACAAAATTTTCTGCAAGCGCTCGTCAAACAATCTCTTTCAGCGATGCTGGCCAAACTTTCAGCAGGCGCTCAGACTCTTTTTACGCAGTTTCGGGCGTACGCCGAGAAAAGATGAGACTCTATGTGGCAGAGGTGCCATCGATGGTTTTATTACCCAAGTTTGGGGTACTTTCTTTCAGCGGAAAGTACCTGAGGGCTGTGCGGTCCTTCAAAAAGGACCGTGCGGCTCCCAATAATTTTGCATGTTCTCGCGGAAAATCCGCGAGAATGCGGCCACTGTGCCGCAACTTATGTATAGAAAAACCGCGATAGATCTTCGAGCGTTCGTCTAAAAATTGGCCAAAATTATTCCAAGTTTCTGCAAGCGGACCACAAAAAATCAGCGAACTATTTTTCCGGTGCCCGCTTGCTCAAAATTCGCATGGCCGCTTGCCCCCGGCGATTATCTGAGTTCCTAACAACCGTATCTTTATCCTCACCGAAGTACCTTACAGGTCATGCCATAAGCATAACCTGCTGTGATAGTGTGTTATGTTACTCTACCACGCCTATTATGGTCAGCATTCTACCACAGCACCAACGTGTGCAGGTCGCCTGTCTCAATAAAGCTTATTAGCTATGTGTTCTATATAACACACTCTACCAGGCGCTATTTCGCCTAAGGCCACTATAGAGCCTACGAACCACCGATACAAAGGCGAATCTTTTGATGTACAGTAAAGTTCCAACGAACGGAATTTCATCGAATGAACAAAGATCAATAAATGATTTCCGAATGATTTTCGAATGAACGGATATTAATCGATCTTCGATTTTCATGTAATCCAAATTCGAATATTCGATGGTCAAATTACTAAATTCGAATTTTCGAATATTTGAGTTTTGAGAATGGGTTGGAAAAGCGCAGCTTCAGTGATAGGCTGAAGATTCTAAGTTTAGAAGTGACAATTTTCGTGCAATAACTCAATTTCGCAGCTCTAAGGCTGTTGATGCTGGTAAGAACCTTCACTCTAATTACCACAGAAGCTGTGCTTTTCCAATCTCAAAATTTCTAGATTCCTTGAACTCATCTCATATATAGCTTCATGTCGAGAATGTCTTGCTCTTTCGGATGAGCCTCTTTGCAGGCTCATTGAATGATTGCTAGCCGAGTTATAAGCTTGCAAAGAGTACAATTCAGTGGTGCGGTGCAGGTGAGGTCATGTGCATGCACTTCCAAGAGCCATTTTCAGCAAAGAAACTCACCAGCACGGTGCATATAGAATGGTAGAGAAGAGCGCCCATGTTATCTAGAAAGTTGTTAGGATGTCTTGCTTCGGTTTCCTTATGAAACAATTTGGTTTGGAAGAGGGAATTAGAAATTAACTTCTAAAAAGTGCAAAGTAGAATTCTAGCTTGTGTTTTTTAGGATTTAATAACCAGATTATAACCCTTGATGAGCTCTATAAAATAGTATGCTTATCCGTTCGTACTATTTATGTTTATCGCTTTTGAAAAAAAACCCAAAAGAAAGCTTTTGCGAAGAATTGTTGTCTGCGATATTGTGACGCGACCATTTCAAGACTTTTGATGATAAAAGATTTCTAAATTTCCTAGAATCCTTGTTTCCCAGGACGTGTAAAATGTGGGTTGTAGATCTTGAAGAGCTCTATCATTTCGTGTAATCGAAACATTTTTTCGTTTTCTATCTGAAAATAAGCGATGAATAGAGAAGGGGGGGGGGCTTTCCTCAACTTTTTGGGGTCACTGTATAGACATTGTTTCAGGTACTCGTGGAAAACTGGAGAAATACCAGCGCACTGTCAATACCCCATGTAACAGAATGTTCCCAACATGTCGACCTTTCCTGGTTGCCAGCGATCTTCCTTATCCTATTTTGTCCACTTACTCTGTATGATCTCTACCGTAGTGAAAACCCCCGAGCCAGGCGTCACTCGCCAGTTACATATAGAATTGTGAGCAACACTAGTTCAGTTTGAATAATACTGCTAAGGATATCCAAGTTGACGTTTAGTTAATTTGCGTCATTCTTGTCATCGATCTCTCTTGCTCGTTTTTTCACAATGCCTACAATTACTTCATTCTGGAAAAGAGTTCTACACTACACTATCTGGCCGGAGACTGTGCACAGTACATAGGTTGGTGACATGTTCTTTTCTGCTTTCCATCTATATCTCAGCCTACTCAAGCAGCATTCAGGCCTCTGTTTGGCTCTGACTCTACTGATTGCATGCAGAAACCGTGGCATTGTCACTTCTGGGGTGTTGTTCAACTACTGGTTACTAATGGTTCTATGCGGGTTTCCTGAGCTTCGATATCTTTTAGAACACCATTTCACTGTACGATCTTGCGAAGGTGTTTGTGAGAGCAGATCTGCTCAAACAGTGCTTTACAGAATCGGGAAGAAGACAGCTTTCACTTTTTTCTCTACATGATCTATTATCCCCTGATATGCCTAGAGCTGATACTTTCATGTTTCGCCGACACGCCTTCTGGAGCTTTCATTGGAGTAATTTCAACCTTCAGTATTATTTGTGCCGTGAAATAGGTTCAATTCCAGAAGCAAGTATGCCCTGAGTTGTCAACCTCATTTTTGAATCAAATAACATTCAACTGGTTCACTGGTCTAGCTGTGAAAGGCTACAAAAAACCGCTGGAAAGGGACGATCTATGGGGTTTGAACGAGCGAGATGCCTCCGTCACACTCATTCCTCAATTTAACAAATACTTTAAGCCGGAGCTCAAAAGTAAGTATCGTAAAGATGAAGCGGTAATTTTCCGGTTTTTTACAGGATGCCAAGACAGGCGCAAACAAAAGCACGGTTCGTGCTCGTCAAAATGTCAACCATCCGTTCTCCTGCCTCTGTTCAAAACCTACAAATTACTTCTTATTTATGGGGCGCTATTGAGACTACTTGCTGATCTTCTAACATTTGTTGCCCCTATCTTGCTCAAGCAACTAATTGGCTTTATACAGGTATGGACATACGCAAAAAAAATTTCTTACTATTAGAACAGTAATATTTCAGGACCTTCATCAACCCTTATGGGTGGGAGTCGCTACAGCCAGTGTCATGTTTTTTGTGGCTGAGCTACAGTCTGTGATACTCAGTCAGTATATTCATCTTATGTTTCGGTTGGGTATGAACATACGTTCGGTACTGAGTAGTGCTGTGTACTTCAAGGTTTGTCTCAAAGATCATTCTATTACTCTTCACAAATTTCGGATTTGCTTGGAATCATGCGAACGACCAATCCATTTGTCAAGTCTAGGCCATGAATCTCTCGAATAACGCCCGAAAACATCGCACAACAGGGGAGATTGTAAATCTCATGTCCGTGGACATCCAAAAGTTGCAGGATATAACCACAAACGTGATGATGTTCTGGTCAGCACCTCTTCAGGTGTTTTCATTTTCCTATGCATTCATCACATTCACGACCAATCCATTTATGCCGCTGGTCAGAGCGTATTTTGCAAATACTGTGAAGAAACATTTCTGATTCCCGTTTCTTTCCACCACTAGAATGAAGTCAGCAGTAGTCGCTTACACGCCTGTGCATGTGTTTTAAGACACCTCCCTTGCTTTTCGCCACAAAAACGAAGTTCAGCTTGCCTGGCAGGTACGACGCTAACGAGAAAAACTTAGGCTGCAATATTGCTCGTCCTCATGAAGCTCTTGACTTAGTGGCATTGCACCCCTTTGCTTCAGAAGGGTTGACCAGAACGCCTCCGCGACCTGGCCGCCCTCAAATCGCTACCAGAGTGCGTAAGTTGCACACAGTCAAGAATAAGGTCCCAACGACTATGCGTCATAACCAGGGTTGAGCGTGGGATCAGGCGCGCCCGACCTGGGGGGTCTTATTGAGGGTAAGACTGAGGGGGGGGGTCGTAATTAGTAATCGAATTTGTTGAGTTGGGGAGGTACTGCGAAGGTGAAGAAGAAATGCGCTGATCCGGTGGATATCATGATCACATGAAGGAATGACGGTCATAAACAACATACTGATTGTTTCCACAATGGAATTTTCAGCCAAAATTCAAATCTTCATCTCTTTTACCTTGACATGTGAGGTCGACAAGGAAGTTTGCTATGTGAAATGGGTACCATTCCCATAATCAGCATATCAAATTACTCTATGCGCTTTACAAACCATTACCTACTGCAGTTCCTAGTGTTTCTTAACGTCTAAAAAGCGTGATTTTCAAACGTGATCAACTTGGTTTCAGAAGTGAGAGAGGTCAGCTTTTGTATACTCATAACAAAGTAATGTTCTCTACAAGTCTATGCTACAAATCGGGCTTCTTATCGCTTTCTAACAGTGAAGTAAGAAGTGCTGCCAAAATTCCAACCGGTGCGTTTTTCAAGTTGAGTGCTTCAACTCCTAGGATTAGCACGAGGCCGAAACAAGTCGAATCAAGCTCAAACACTGATTGTGGAATCTTCGAGGGTTGAGCTAGCGAATCACATAAAACTTGGGTGGAAAAGCTTTTTGGGAAATAAAGTTAATGGGGTCAGGCGCAACCCCTCAAAAGGTCAGGCCGCCTGAGCTTTTGAGGGGTTGCGCCTGACCCTCTTAACCTGCTTTCAAAATTCAAAAATCGCCCCTTTTTTGATATATGTATTGAGGTCAAAGCCTCTTCTTGCTATATTGAAAATTTGGAGCCAAACACTCCACCCCTGTGAAAATTATAGCTCTGAAAAGAGGACTTTCCAAATCTAAAACTTGCCGTCAAGTTGCGTGTGGTTGTGCAATCACAGAAAGTCGGGCCTACAGACTTTCAAAAAATAGAAACCTGCAGTGAAGGCTGGTCTTCTTTAAAATATAACACCCTGAGGACTTAGAGGTGAAGAGGAGGGTCGTTTAGGGGCTTTCACAGGGGGGGGGGGGTCGTTTTTGAAGGACATGTGGCTGACCTCTCAGATAATCGCCGGGGGCAAGCGGCAATGCGATTTATGGGCGGGCGGGCACCGGAAAAATAGTTCGCTGATTTCTTGCGGTCCGCTTGCAGAAATTTGGAAAAATTTTAGCGAAATTTTAGAGGAATGTTTGGAGAACAATCGCGGTTTCTTTATAGATTAGCTGCGGCGCAGTGGCCGCATTCTCACGGACTTTCCGCGAGAAGATGCAAAAATTTCGGGGGCCGCACGGTCCTTTGTGGAGGACCGCGCAGCCCCCAGGTACTTTCTGCTGAGAAAAAGTACCTCAAACTTGAGTAATTAAACCATCGATGACTCCTCTGCCATGTAGAGTCTCACCTTTGCTCGGCGTACGCCCGAAACTGCTTAAAAACCGTCCGAGCGCCAACTGAAAATTTGACCAGCGCTCGCTGAAAGAGATTATTTGACGAGCGCCTGCAGAAAATTCTGTGCTGCTGCCCGCTGGCAGAACATTAGACAGTAAAGGAAGTACCGCTCGCCGAAGGTTTGGCCACGCCCCAAAATTCTGCTGACCGCCTGCAGAAAAGCGCGAGTTTGCGGACCGCCTGCCCCCCGCGATTATCTGAGCTGACCCCAGAAATTCAAAAAAGGACGCCTGAAAATTTCTTTTACAAAACTAATTTAAATCTTTAAAAATTTTTGAAAATTATTTCAATTATTTGCAAGTAATAACAAGTCCTCTGCACACTTTTATAACACATGAAGTAACTTTCAAAAATTTCGCGACCCCCCCCCCCCCTCGGTACGCCACTGGTGCCAACCTATTAAAAATAGTGGGCCTAGCGCGGAGACGCAGGAAGGCGCAACCGACTAGTGGTCGAGTACGCCGTGTTCGGCCTGTGCGCAAGGACCGTAGGCACAGGGCACTAGATTTAGCGTACGCCAAATGCAATCGATATCAGCAGCTGATAAACGCCCAAATGTCAACACGCTGAGTGACTTATGAAAAAGGTGAGTTTATTTTGATTACGATTTACTTCAGAATTTTACTTATTCGTGTCTTTTCGTGTCTTAACTATTTTTCTATACACATCGCAACTCATTTGCGCACCAAATTTTTCTTCTGCATGTCTTAATCCCCTTACTTCTTCCATCTTGGCACCTCTTATAACGTTTATATGCTGAATTGCTGTTCAATAGCTGTGCGTCCAGTGTTTCCCTTCTATTTTGAGGGAGGGAACCGTCTGGCGTTATGAATAAGCAGCTTGTGTTTACACCAACCAAGGTAGTGTTTTTTACAATATCCCAATTTTCTCGTGTACTGTCAATAATTTATGTTCTGCATTGCCATTTTCTCACTACCAAAACATTTGAAATTTTGTTCATTTACATAAAACCTAACTAGCCAGCAAGTTGCATAACGTTTTCCCACATCGCACCACTAGCCGCCACCGTTGGCTCAACCCCGCCTAACACTGGCGCTGCGCTATGCGCACCTCTGTTAGCAATACCGTAATATCGCTTCTTGATAATGACTGGCGAAGGCAGTGTACATTCTACATACACAAAAGCCAATACACATAAAAGTTTGGCTATCGATTTGCTCTTAATCAGCAAGCGACTGTTCTGTCTGTCGCATCTTTGCTTCGCTAGGTTTAAGCTTCGAAGAGGATCATAGTGCAGTGGCAGTGCGGGCCGTCGACGGTCATTAGGGTTCGACCGCGCGTGCGCGCTCAAGTTTTGCGGCGACAAAGACTAAGGCGATGTCGTTAGCAGCTTGTCCTTCAGTCGGACACATCGCGAGCTCGCTTTCTTTACATTGCGACATATTTCGGGGGTTTACTATGGACATAGGTTACATCATGGGTTTCAATTGCCTACCTACTACGTGATTTCAACCTATTTTCTAATTCGATCCTCTTTTAGTACAAAAACATTTAAAACGAACACTAACATCATAAGAATGTCATCCTCTATTCGGAAAATGTTAGGTTTGCCCAGACATCAAAACGAGGAAACAGGCGGTAGCAAATACTTCAAGACATCATTTGTATCTTGTTCGCGGCTGAATACGCACGAAAACGGTAGTAGAGAATTCTTTGTTATTGCGAAAAGCGATCATGTTCTAACCAGTTTTACGAGGGAAGGATACTTGTTGACCAGTACTCTGCGTTGATACCACTGCTT